GGAATTTGTGGAGGGCTGAGCACACCTCGCACCTTGCCAGAGAATCTGGGGTTGCAGCTTTGGACCTTTGGGGGTTACCTCATTCAGTCACCCCCATGCAACAGCTTCTCAAGTTGGTGGAGTTCTGTTTTGAGAACCCCCAAACTGTTCAGTTTTGAAACCAGATAGTGTCTGAGCAGCCAGCCTTGGTAACCCTGGATCTTTTTCAACCTTCTGCTCAATGCAGAATCCTGCAGCTACAGAATCCCTAGAAGATTGCTTCTTTTTACATCTTTCCAGCAGTGATCTCAGGGGGCAGCTGAAAACAAGCCTGCTCCTCTTTCTTATGACAGCCTTTCAAATATTTAAACATGGCTAGCTATCATGTTGTTGTTGAGCCACAGCACTGCCCCCCCCCTTTTTTTTTGTCGTGTCAGGAGAGACTTGAGAAACTGCAAGTCGCTTCTGGTCTGAGAGAATTGGTCGTCTGCAAGGACATTGCCCAGGGGACGCCCAGATGATTTGATGGGTTTTTTGGGTTTTTCTAATCATCCTTGTGGGAGGCTTCTCTCATGTTCCCGTATGAGGAGCTGGAGCTGATAGAGGGAGCTCATCCGCCTCTCCCCGGATTCGAACCTGCGACCTGTCGGTCTTCAGTCCTGCGGCACAGGGGTTTAACCCACTGCGCCACTGGGGGCTCCGCCCCCTGAATATTTATAAACCATTAAGAGACCCCAAGCAAGTTATATGATTTTTTTTTCTTTTTATTAAAACTTTTTCTGTAACTTCAAATAGCAAAATGTCAAAGTACTAGAGATTCCAGAACAGAGCTAGCACCAGCTATATCCCAAAATTCGATAAAATCTAACCATCTAATAAATTGTATCAACTTGATAAAACTTGTATCTTTTATGTGCTGTATCAATTCCTAAAAATATAAATGGTATCAAATGAAATGTATCAAAATGTATCTATAAGGCCTCTCTATGCCTCCAGTTTGCATAATCTCTTTAAAAGGAAATCACAGTCAAGGTTCTTCCAGCCATTTCCCAAGCCAGATCAATATCATAACCTTTGTGTGCACATGCAGATTGTGCTCTTTGTTATCAACATGATCTTAGGATGTTTGTTCATTCAACTTGAGGCTGAGAGTATGTCACTTCTGCAGAAGAGGAGGGGGTCAGCCAACATGAATCCATTGACTCTCCTTAGACAAATCCTTGATTGTCCAGAATCATCATCTTTGTCTCTTTGGTCTTGAGGGATTTTCTGCCTTGATATTCTGGGATATAGAGCTGTGTGGAAGGACCCAGAGACTGAATACCAGGGTCTAATCCACATTGAGCTCTGAAACCACTGGGTGGTCTTAGGCAAGTCATGCTCTTTCAGCCTTAGGCCCTTTCTGGGGCCTCTTCCACATAACTGTATAAAATCCACATTGAACTGGATTTGTTTTATTTTTTAATTTTTATTTCTGCTCTTTTTGCACTGCCTGCCACTCCTTCCCTGTTGCTACCATGGCATACGTTCTGTATCAGAAACTAGAGCTGATGTGGTCTATCCAATGCAATTTTCTGAATGAGCACCCCAAATAACCAAACCAAATCTAAAGTTGACCAAAAACTGATTCGTAACCCTTTTGATACTAATGTTTGAGAGTGGTCCCTGTAAAGGCTCCTGGTCAAAGTGGTCCCTGGTCAAGTGGTCCCTGGTCAAAAAGACATTGGGAACCAATGCCTTAGAAGTCAAGGTGACTAAACTGAAGCTGTTGTATTTTGACCTTTTCATGAGAAGATGGACTTAAGGAAGTCTTGAGCTTGCAAAACCCGAGCAGAGCTGTTGATGACAAGGGTGATTTGAAGGTATGTACTTCATAAACTCACCATAAGATGAGGGAACTTGATGGCAGTTAACAACAATTATAATATCTTGCTGCAAAACCAAAGAAGAATAACATGGTAAGGGACAATCAGATCATGCAATGGGCCCTGCTTAAAACGTCCCCGTCTCTCAGATGTAATTTAGACTACAACTCCCATGCTCCCTCACCATTGGGAATGCCAACTGGGGTTGTTGGGATAGATGGGATCAAACTGCAATCCTCACAAGCTCTTGTCTAGTTGACTGTGTTTCATGAGCAACATTAGTGGAGAATGCCGTTCCTGTAAACAAGTTCCATTAGTAATTTTAGCTAAATGTATTTCTGTATATATATATAAAAATCTGTATTACTAAAGTGTGACTTAGGCATATTTCGTAAATCAAACTAAATAAATAGCAACTTCACTTTGAAAAAAGGAAGAACCCTAATACAGTTACATAAGCATGAATGTTTTATGGGCTATTGCCAGTGAGAAATACTGCATTCTAGCACTTTGGCTGTTCACTTGGGAACGGTCCTTGAATTTTCATTAAAACAGACGAAGCCTTATATTTTAACTAAACATATTCATGGCAAATTATTTTAACACCAGTTGTTGTTGTTGTTGTTTTCTTCCCCTGGATGTAATTTATAGTACATATTGCATCTCTTCTATCTGCATCTTGGCAGTCTTTAATTTCTGAGCACTTCTTTTGTCCTTGCTCGGCTCAAAAATGAGCGTATGTCATGCTCACTTTCCACCTTGTAAATGAACCGAAATGGATTTTACATTCCTGTAAGCCTCCGGTGGCAAAGGAAAAGTTCTCGGCACTGTAAATGTCAATGTACGTTCACAATGTCGGACTCAACACATATAGCTTGATGGAATCCACGGATATTACTAGCTGCTTTGTGATTAAAACAACAGCAGCACAAGGAGCAGTAACTGCTACTAAGGTCCCTTCCACACAGCTGTATCAAATCATGTTGAACTGGGTTATATGGCAGTGTGGACTCAGGGCCCTTCCACATAGCCCTGTATCCCAGAATATCAAGGCAGAAAATCCCGCAATATCTACTTTGAACTGGGTTATCAAAGTCCACACTCAGATGTGGGATTTTTTTTGCCTTGATATTATGGGATATAGGGCTGTGTGGAAGGGCCCCTAGATAACCCAGTCCAAAGCAGATATTGTGTGATTTTTTGTCCTGATATTCTGGGTTATATGTCTGTGTGGAAGGGCCCATAGGTCCCTTCTACACTGCCATAAAAACCCAGATTATTTATTTATTTATTTATTTATTCGCGGCGCTTATATGCCGCCCTTCTCACCCCGAAGGGGACTCAGAGCGGCTTACAATATATATTTTCATACAATATATTATATTATTAGCAAAGTACAATATCAGTATATATTACTATATTGCACTATACCATTATATTGTAATATTACTAGTATTATATTGTATTACATTATAATATTATAAATATTATATGTATATACAATATACTATATTATATTATTAGTAAAGACAAGATGGAAATGTCTTCTGCTCCCCTCTGTCTTCTCTCTGGCCAGAGTAGCCGTTGGTGCCAGAAGGGGGAGGGGCCTCTCAAGTGATGATATAGTTCAACTTTGAACTGGATTATATGGTACATAATCCAGTTCAATCCAAATTTGGATTATCTACTTGGATAATATGGATTATATGGCAGTGTAGAAGGAGCCCGAGTCTACACTGCCACATAATCAAGCAGATAATTTGGATTTTATATGGCAGTCTAGAAAGGGCCTCATATAATCCAGTTCAACGCAGATAATCTGGGGGCCCTTCCAGACAGGCCCTATATCCCAAGATCTGATCCCAGGTTTTCTGTTTATCCCAGATTGTCTGGCAGTGCGAATTCATATTGAGGGAGACGTAATTTTAAAATGGGATTTTCATGGATGCTTTCAATGACTGTAAATCCCTGTTTGCTAAAGTGTTGATGTTTGGAGAAAGAACTTCCACAGGGAGGTGACTACTTTTCAAGCATAAGGTCATCAGGACAAAACTGGTTAGCCAGTACTCCCTAATTTCTGGCCATGTTCTAGAGGCATTCTCTCCTGACATTTCGCCTGCATCTATGACAAGCATCCTCAGAGGTAGTGAGGTCTGTTGGAAATAGGAAATGGGTTTATATATCTGTGGAATGACCAGGGTGGGACAAAGAACTCTTGTCTGCTGGAGTTGAATGTTTCAACTGACCACCTTGATTAGCATTTGATGGCCTGGCAGTTGTTTGGTGTGGCTTGTTGGTGCCTGGGGCAATCTTTTGTTGAGAGGCGATTAGATGTGCCTGATTGTTTCCCCTCTGCTGTTTTGCTGTTGTAATATTTGAGTAATACTGGTAGCCAGATTTTGTTCATTTTCATGGTTTCCTCCTTTTTGTTCAAATTGTCCACATGCTTGTGGATTTCAATGGCTTCTCTGTGTAGTCTGACATGGTGTTTGTGAGAGTGGTCCAGCATTTCTGGTTGAAGTAGTCTGCAGTGCCTTTCATGTTCCTTGATGTGTGTTTGGGCAGTGCTGCGTTTGGTGGTCCCTATGTAGACTTGTCCACAACTGCACGGTATACGGTGGACTCCTGCAGAAGTGAGAGGATCCCTCTTGTCCTTTGCTGAACGTAGCATTTGTGGGGCTTCTACATTTCCATATAATTCATATAATTCATATTATCAAAGCAGACAATCAACATTATCTACTTTGAACAGGTATCTACATAGTCATATAATCCTGTTCAGAGCAGATTTTATATGGCAGTGTAGGTGGGGCTTTACAGTACCATGGCTCAATGCTATGGGATATTGGGAGTTGTAGTTTGGCGAGGCAAACTAAAGGTCGATGTGAAACTACAGCTCCCATGATTCTACAGCCTTAAACCAGGACAGTCCCAAGTGGTGTCAAGCTGCATTAATTTGACAGCGTGGACACAGCCTGAGCCTGTGGAAAAGCCCACCCCACGTTTCAGTGCCTCCCCTTCCTCTCGGGACGCAGCGTAAACCTCTTTCTCCCCCGAAAAAAAAGAATAAGCAAAGAGCAGGAAGAGCTACTCCTTTGCCCACGCTAAACATGGCGACCGGGGCGTCACTTCCGGGCGGAAGGGCGTCTGGTCGCTCTGGCACTCCGGAGCACCATAGACGGAGAGCATAAAGGAGCCGCGTCCAGATAAAAAAAGGCTCCTGCCTGCTGCTTGGAGAGAAGGTCTTTCTGTGGCTTGGCTGCATCGAAGCCAAAGAGGTAAGGGCCCGGCCAAGGCCTAGGACTCCCAGCATCCCTTCCCGAAGAGCAGAGAGGGGCAGGAGGCGAGGGAGGGGCCTGGATCAGGCCTTTCCCCTGCTTTGTCTCGACGGGGCGTTTTCAATGGGCGCCGTGGCTGATCTTTAAGGCTGGATCTACACCGCCTGTCATCCAGTTGCAGAAGGTGCATTGACTGCATTGGCCTGGATGACAGACAGGTTGAGATCATCCAGTTCAGTGCAGGCAGGACCTTCTCCCCTTGGGATTAACCAGAAAACAAGGCCTCTTCCATACTGCCCTGTATCCCAACGATCTGATTCCAGATTATCTGCTTATCCCAGATCTTCTTTGAACTGAGGCTACACTGCCAGATAATCCAGTTCAAAGCCGATAATCTGGATTTTATATGGCAGTGGAGGAGGGGCTTCATAATCCACAAAGTACATAAACTGGGATATAGGGCAGTGTGGAAGTGGCCAAAGGCCTAGCATAATTCTTCCAGGAGGCTGGGCCCCTTCCACACAGTTTAATAAAATCCTACATTTTCTGCTTTGAAGTGGAATATATGGCAGTGTGCACTCAGATAACCCAGTTCAAAGCAGACATTGTGGGATTTTCTATCTTCATATTCTGGGCTATATAACTGTGTGAAAGGGCCCTGGGAATATGAACCCTGCCTCCAAAATACAAACAGTCCTCATATTACGGACAAGCTAGCGTCTATAGGTTTCTTCTGAAATTGAATTTGTATGTAAGTAGGAACAGGTACTTTTTAAAGTTGATCAAAAACTGATTCATAACCCTTTTGGTACTAACGTTGGAGAATGGTCCCTGGTCAAAGTGGACCCTGCTCAAGTGGTCTCTGGTTAAAAAGGTTGGGAACCACTATTGTACAATCAATCAATCAAATCATTTATTTTGGTCATTGACCAGCACAGGAAACAGAGTCACATTTTCATACAAACTTGGTGTGTTTGGTACATTAAAAATATAAATATAACTACTGAAGCACAATTTGGGAAGGGGAAACAAGGTAAAAACATACAATGCCCAGATCCATCACCAAATTGTACACAAATAAACATTGATTTTATACGTGAAAAAAACATCCCCTGAAAATAAGCCCTAATGCAGTGGTTCTCAACGTGTGGGTCCCCAGGTGTTTTGACCTACAACTCCCAGAAATCCCAGCCAGTTTACCAGCTGTTGGGATTTCTGGGAGTTGAAAGCCAAAACATCTGGGGACCCACAGGTTGAGAACCACTGCCCTAATGCATCTTTTGGAGTAAAAAATAATATAAGACCTGGTCTTATTTTCAGAGAAACACAGCAGTTTTTAAGGCTTAATCTCTCATCTGACACGCACCACCAACACTGTCATATAGCAGTTTATATGGCAGGGGACCAGTAACATGTGATGTACACATGTAACCTAGAACTCTTTTACACTGCCATATAATCCAGATTATCAAAGCAATTATCTGCTTTGAACTGGATTACATTGGAGCCCCTGGTGGCGCAGCAGATTAAACTGTTGAGCTGCTGAACTTGCTGACCGAAAGATTGTTGGTTCAAATCCAGGAAGCTGGGTGAGCTCCCACTCTTAGCTCCAGCTTCTGTAAACCTTGGAGTTTGAAAACATGCAAATGTGAGTAAATCAATAGGTAGCGCTTCAGCAGGAAGGTTACAGCGCTCCATGCAGTCATGTCAACCACAACTTGGAGACATCTACAGTCAATGCCAGCTCTTCGGCTTAGATGAGCACCACCCCCCAGAGTCAGATATGACTAGACGTCATGTCTGACCTTTATCTTTACCTTTTATATGAGTCTACACTGCCATATAATCAGTTCAAAGCAGATAATTTGGATTTTATATGGCAATGTAGAAGGGGCCTCGGACACACATTTGCTCCTTCCTTTGTTTCCTTCTCAATGTGGGAAGGTTTTATGAACTTCTCTGCTGCTTCTCCTAAGACACACCTGCACTCACCATTTAATGCAATTCCAAGCTATCTTCAAATTGCAGAGGCCAGGCAGTAAACTCCCCTAAAAGCATGTGAAAGGAAATCTGTAACGTGCATCTGTGGTTTGTCCTTACTATCCGGGCTTCAGAATGATTCCAGGATGTCTCATCTTCACAGAGAAACCATTTTCTTCCGTAACAGTCTGAATCTGCATTAAATGGTCAGTGTAGACAATCTGGGATCCATGGTCATCTATCTCACTGCACCTCACACACAACAAAAAGGGTCTAAAGTTTTGAGCTTCCCTTGGATGGTTTGTCTCAGGTTGTAGAGAAGGAGCTCATTTGTTTGAATTTTAAAAACCCCCAAAAACGTATCATTGTATAATCAGCTTTCCACTGGATTGATCAATGTGTTCAAACATCCATGACTTGAAAATATTCCCCCAAAAATACAAAAAGGGAACCTTGATTTTGCTATTTTATGTAAGAGGCCAGTTTTACTATGACATTGTATATAATGGGATTTGGTCATCCATGGATTTCAGTATCTATGGGGGTTTTCTGGAACCAGCGGATACCAAGGACCCACTATAAAAAGCTTGAAACTTGGAAATAAGCCAACAACATGTTTCCTTGGGATAATGCTTTTTTAATATAAGCCTGGGCACATTATTAAGGAGGGATATTCAAACTTCTGTTTGCTACCTAATACTACCACTAGTGTAAACTATATGTAGGTTGGAATTATTCTTCTCTTGCTGTATGGATCAAAAATACCTTATTCCTTCCCTGCCTTCACTTCTACCCTATAACCTTCCAAACAGTGAGATGAAACTAGATCTATTCAAATTAAAAAATAACAAATGGTTAAATAAATAGATGGCTTAGGGGGATGCTACATGACTTTTCAATAAAACCTGGTCCTGCTGAATCCCATGGATTTGAATTATGCTTAAATGTCTCTCCGACACACCTTGTTAGACTACAAAACCAATCTTATATGTGCTCAGAAGTAAGCCACATTGACACTACTGGGACAATATGCAATTAAATACACCAAGACATGTGCCCTAACACCCAAGTTATATACTTCCATATTTATTTCTGACTAGAAAGATACGTTGTTGGTCTAATTCTTATGAACCATGACATCCTCTGAATTCCAATAATCAGGTACAATAAACCCTCATGTGAAATTCCATGTTCAAAAATGATTTTAATTAGGATTATTTAAGCAAGCTAAGCTTCTCCTAACACTCCTTTTTCTTTCTTTGATAGGATGGAGACAAGGAAGGTCTTGATGAAATCGAATGTCGCTGCTTCCAATCTCCTGAGATCACTGCATTCCCTTTATCAGTTTGGCTACTTCTGCGATGTGAGAATACACACAGACCAGCCAGGAATGCAGGAGGAATTTTTTGTTCACAAGGCTGTCTTAGCAGCTTCCAGCAATTACTTTAAATGCCTCTTTCTTAGCGATGAGATGCTGAATGCCAAGGATTGCGAGGTAACCCTCCAGGATGTTCATGCTGAAGAATTTGCCTCCTTCCTAAGGTTTGTCTACACGACAGAAGTAGAAATTGAAGCGGATGGATTGCAACGGATAAAAGAGGTTGCTGAAAGATTTGAATGCCAGGATCTGCTCGCTGTGTTAGAAGAAATGAAGAATGCAGATGGTGACTCAGATTTGAGTGTCCCTTTGAGAAGACGTAAAACTGGTTGGAGTCAAACCAAACAAATAGAACAGACCGAGCTACCCCACATTTTGTCAGCGCCTATGAAGAGGAATCTTTGGGATAGGAAGAAGCATGCAAAACTATCCGCTAGCTGTGATAATAATGAAAGCAAAGCTGAAAGTTCTCCTGAAGAAGAGATAGCTCTTGTGAAATCTGAAGATGAGATGGCAACCTCAACTGGACTCAGCAAGGCAGATCTGCTCCAAGATCCCATCACAACTGACACCAGCGAAGAGGAAAACAAAATCAACCACCCTTCGGCAAACCAGGTGGTCTTGAAAGAAGCCATTGTTGTTCTAAACAGGATAATGCCTGGCCAAAAGGGGGTTCCTGAGGAAACCAAATTCGGGAAGATGCCACACAATGTATCAAAGGCCTTGCCTCAAATGTATGCATGTGACCAGTGTAATCGCTCCTTCAATTTTGCCAAGCAGTATCAGTCACACATGGAAGTGGAACATGACATCCATGTGGTCATTAAATACAGTTGCAATATGTGTGACCAGCTCTTTGCTAGTTCCCAGAACCTACGGCAACACAGGCTCACTGTTCACAACAGTGAGCAATGCTTCCCCTGCTTACTGTGTGACAAAAGGTTTAAGCGGCAGAAGGATGTGAATGACCACATCCGGAGGGTGCACGAAAAGAAAAGAAATCCTCAGCGGTGTCCATACTGTGACAAGATTATCAGTTCTAGAACTGGACTCACGGTTCACATTCGAACGCACACGGGAGAGAAACCATACAAGTGTCAATACTGCCCGGCGAGGTTTGCTCAGAGATCTGCCTTTAATACTCATGTAAGGTAATGCTTTTTAATGTGTTTATTTCAACGTATGGAATGACAGGGTTTTTTTTTCATCCCTATCTCTTTGGTAGTATATATTGTGTCCTAACAATAGAAATTCGTAAGAGATGGTTTGACAGAATTTTCAGTTTCTGGTTTCTTGTGTATATTACATTTTGCAGTGTTAAGCAAATACTTTGAGAGCTACATTTAAATAAATTCACTGGTGTAAACGATATTTTGCAGGTCAATTTCATGTAACTTAAAGACAGTGTTATCACTGCTCTTTTATTAATTAGGTTTCTTCTGCATCGGAGTCTGGACAAACTTGTTGGTCAGCAAACGAAACACACCTTTCTAAGCAGTCAAATCTACCATCCTTCTCAGAAGCAGCTTATACAAACTGACCCATAACATTTCAGTTCTTTGAATCGCTATATACATTCCTTGGGGCTTTTTATTTAGTGATGCTGCTTGGGACAAAGTCCTAAAATAGTTCACATTTTTGGTTAGTCCCAGTAGAAAGATTTCTTCAAATCAAATTTTATTTTTTCTGTTTTCAGAATTTCTATCCTGCTTTTCTATAAAATCCATTTATGTAAGTCAAAGTATGTATGTATGTATGTATGTTGGTTGGTTTGTACTACAAAGGTTCCTACCTGGCTTGTTGCATCTGGACCAAACTTAGCACACATATCCTTCATTACCCAACTTGAAATAATTAGTGGCGTTTAACTACAAATCCCACCCAGCTTTGGATTGAAGGCCCCCAAAAGTAATTATTGGCAGTATACACATAGAAATGATTAGCTACCAATCTGTTGGTATATATGCATGCATGAGGTGCTCAGATGTGACCACAAGAGGGCAGTATATAGATAGAAAGTATTAGCTACTGGAACACCAAATGGTTGCACCATGAGGCAAAACCACAACACTGAAGGCCACAGCAGGGACATCCATGCCAGATGAGTCTGAAAGTGTGACTTCCAAGAAAAGAACAAATGAAAGGGGTGGGGGGGGGGGGATGGGGAAAGGTATGTGGGAATGGAAGGAAAGAAAGAGAAAGAAGGGAAGAGAAAGGAAAGGAAAATAGAGACTAAAAAGGGATAGAATAAAAAGAAGGTAAAACAAAGGAAGGAAGAAAAAGGTAAGAAAGAAGGGGGAGACAGTGTATGAGGAGAAAGAAAGGGAGGAATGAAATAAAGGAAGAAAAGAGAGAAAGACAAGGTCTGTGAAGAAAAGGGAAGAAGAAAAGAAAGAGCTAAAAAGAATATGGAAAACTTTCTCTGATGTCGAGTCACTGTGACTTCCAAGAAAAGGTGGGATCTGATGCCATTTAGGTGGCTAAGGCATGAAAACACTCAACAAGGCCAAAAAAAAAAAAAACAACAACACTAAAAGAACAAAAACCCACTGCCCTGAAGGTCATGGCTACCACTTCTTCAACAGTCAAGGAAACAATCGATGTATGAAAATGTATTTTAAAAGGGAAACTGATGGCAAACCTCCATTGAGTCTGAGAAAGTGTGACTCAAGGTAAAAAAAATGTGACTTGCTCCAGGCAACCATTTATTCCAAAGGAGATTGTCTGCACCTTTCTCCAAGGCTGAAAGTGTGGCCCGGGGCTGAGAGACTGTGACTCGGTCAAGGCAACCATTTACTAGTAACTAGCTTACGTACCCGGCCTTACCCTAGATATGCATCTTACGAAATCTCATTGTCAGATTTACAGCTTTATTATTTCTCCTTTTAGAAAATGTATTGGGTAATCCTATTGGGCAATGCCAGGTACTTAAACTAATATAAAACAAAATACATAAAATGCAATAGATAACATATAATGGCCTATATCCAATGATGAGCAAGTAGATGGCTGCTAACATTGTAGAACTTTCCTCTTCTCCTCCTTCTACACTGCATAATTGACTCCCCATGGGACTGCAAAGGGCTGGTTTTGGATTGCAAAGGAAAAAGGGGGCAATTCCACTGATAGAAATACCATAATTTCCTGTCTTGTCCGGACTTTCACTGAAAGTTGACCATACAATCACGCTGAAGAACTGAGAGATTCCTAAAGAAGTCTTCTTTCTGGTTAAAAAAAAGATAGTATGGTTTTTTAAAATGCATATTCTACTTTTGTGGGGATTCTGCATCTCTAATCCCAACTAATGTGGAGGGCTGACTGTACAATCTGGTATGCCTCTAAGACAACAATCGAATACATATTACAAAACAAAGTTAAGAAATAACTGATTGCACCATGAAAAAGCAGTGATGAAGAACATTATTTCAAAAGGCCCGTGCCCGAAAAAAATGCTAATTAGAAAAAGACAAGCTTTAGTTTTCCACTGGAAAAAAGCCATGGCAAGACAGCCGGAATTCCTATGCATGTTTACTCAAAAGTCAATCCTGTTGAACTTGATGGTTCCTATTTCTAGGATGAGGGGGTACAAATTTTCACCTCCGAAGTTTTTTTCAGTGCAATCAGAGTATTCTCTTGACTTAATATGTAGATTATTTGTGGATTTGATTTGGACACAAAACGGGCAGCTATGCGGTTTTTACATTACTACTACTACTACTACTGTTATCATTATTATTTTTAATCCTCTTCATCACCATCCTCATAATCTTACCCTCATCATCTCATAACTTTGTCCCCAACAGAAAAATACATGAGTCCGGGCAAGACAGGAAACCCCTTTCAGGTTACTGGATGATAGCCCCACCAACAAAGAGAGACAATGTGGTGAAAGATGGTGAAACAGGCATGAATAGCAAAGCAGCTCATGAGGTAGCAAGTACAGTCTTTCAAAGATTAATTGTGGGCCAAGACACTCAGGTACCTGAGGGAGAAGGCAGGAATTCATCAGTGATGGAGTCTGACGACAAAGAAGGAAGCCCAGAGAACTCTGCTGAAATGAGTATTAAAAGTGATGAAGACGTGACTGTGGTTGTAGAACACAGTGTTAAAGAAGGGGACTGTGAAGAAGAATGGGATGGCAGCCATGACAGTGATGAACTGTCTTCCGCTAACACTGATGATGATTCAGATTATCAAGATGCAGAAGAAAACAAATCAGATGTAGATGATATAGTGAGAAAGGAGAACCAAGACAAACTAGTGAAAAAATCTGCCTATGTTATAACTTGTACCAAATGTGCCCAGACATTCATATCGCGGAAGAAATATGTCGACCACTGCAAAGATGTCCATCATTCTTTGCCTGGTAAAGCCTACCAGTGTGACATCTGTAACAAGTCCTTTGCGAGTTACAACAGCTGGAAAGAGCACCGAGCCTGCGTCCACACAGAAGACAGGCAGTTTTCATGCACCCTCTGTGATGCCACCTTTAAAAGGAAGAGGGATGTGAGGACGCACTACATCCGGAAACACGAAGGGAGGGTGAAGCGTCCCCTCTGTTCAGTCTGTGGAAAGATCCTTAGTTCCAGAACTGCACTGGTATTCCACATGCGGACCCACACAGGAGAGAAGCCCTATCAATGCACCATTTGCTGCTCAAGATTTGCTCAACCTTCACAGCTCACAATTCACACCAGGTCAGCCTTTTACTGTCTTGTCTTCCTCCCCTTCTGAATGCATCCACTATAAGGACAGGGAACCTGTGACTCTCCAAATGTTGTTAGAGTGCAACTTGTATTGGTCCTAGTCAAGATAATCAAAGGTAAAGGATAAAATGAGTTGAAGTCTAACACCATCTGGAAGTCCACTGTTCTATTTGTGATTTGTCACTTTTGAGAACTCTTTGCAAATCATTCTAACCAAACACTGTGGAACTGAATGATAAAGTGAAAATCAAGAGTGCGTCAGCTTAAGACATAAGACATAAATATGATATTAGTTCATATGTGACAGATTCTGAATATATAGGTTGTGTGTTGTCTTTCCAGTTCTTAACAAACCAAGGAGAAGTTTCATGCACAAACAAACAAATCAGATTTACTAGGTAAAATATAAAGGTTTCCCTTGACATTAAGTCTAGCTGTCTTCGACTCTGGGGAGTAGTGCTCATCTCCATTTCTAAGCCGAAGAGCTGGTTTTGTCCGTAGACACCTCCAAGGTCGTGTGGCCAGCATGACTGAATGGAGCGCCGTTACGTTCCCACAGAAACGACACCTATTGATCTATTCACATTTGCATGTTTTCGAATTGTGAAGTTGGCAGAAGCTGGGGCTAACAGCGGGAGCTCAACCCGCTCCCCGGTTCGAACAGCCTACCTTTCAGTCAGCAAGTTCAGCAGCTCAGCAGTTTCACCCATTTATGAATTGGCAGACATTGCTTTTCAATTACATCTCAAAATGGTAGCATGTGGACAACATAACTTAAAGATAAATTCATCCTGACCCATTTTTCATTCCATGCTTCATTTTGTTTGACTATTTTGCCTCTTATTTATTAGCCCAGCAAATGCATTGAGCTAGCATGGTGTAGTGATTTGAGGAGAACAGGGTTCAAATATCCATATGGCCATGAAACCCACTGGGTGACCTTGGATAAGTCAAACTCTCTCAGCCTCAAAGGAAAGCCGTGGACAAATCTTGCCAAGAAAACCCATTGGGATCGGTATACATTGATAATGACTTGAAGACATACAATAACAACAGTAGTGCCATAAAATGAATGTGTGTGTATGTGTGTGTGTGTAGCCCACATTACAGCTACATTTGTTTTATTGGGGATTTTTCATATCTTGGCAGAAGTCTTTTCTTTCCCTTAATACTGTCTTTCCAGCAGTTCTTCTGTTATGGGTTTTATAAACAACTTCTATAGTAGTTGCATTATAAAGAACAAAGAAGAGAAGTAAGCTAGCTTTCTTTTGTTAATTGAATATTTCATCTTACATCTTCCATACCTTTCATTTTTTATTACCCATTAAAAAGGTTGTCTAAAAAAGACTAAGGATCATTTCGTCCAAATCTCCAGCTGAATTAATACCCTTTGAGCCCTTTAAGTACTATCTGCAGCTTTGCAAATATTAATAGCTTTTGGTAAATTATATTTAATTAGTCACTTACTAGGAAATGTCACTAGTGAGATGTATTTACCAATACTTTCAAACTTTCTTCAATATAGGTCCCATACAGGGGAAAAGCCTTATATCTGTGAGGACTGTGGGGCATGCTTTATTGATAAAGGCAAGCTTAATAGTCACAAGAGAACACATACAGGTAAGCCTTTGAATCCTTTCCCTAAATCTGGCAAATGACAAAGCTATAAATGTCAAAGCTATAAATATTATTCTGGCTTTTATGAGTTGCATAGGAACTGTTATCCTCCTTCCAACAAGCCAGTCCCTAGAGCAGGCATGGGGAAGCTTTGGCCCTCCAGACGTTTTGGACTACAAGTCCCACAATTCCTAAAAGCCTATTGGCTGTTAGGAATTGTGGGAGTTGAAGTCCAAAACACCTGGAGGGCCAAAGGTTGCCCATGCCTGCCCTAGAGTGTGTGGCTGACTTTACAAGATTTCTGTGGCATATTATACAAAGAAAAGTGTGTATGTATTACTAAAACAGCTCCAAATTATGTATCCAAGAAGAAGAAAGAAATTAAACTGTCTTAGGGAAAAGGCAGAAGAAAAGATATCCTCGGTTGTTTTTGAAACTCTCCTATAGAATGGAATAGAACAACGCTGCAATCAAAATTATTCCTGCCTTCCTTTTTCAGGAGAGCGTCTCTTCCGATGTGATGTGTGCGGAAAGCATTTTTCTACCAATGAATATTTGAAATGCCACAAGCGCTGCCACATGGGAGCCAAGCCATACAAATGTGATGTGTGTGGGAAATCCTTTGGTCTGAGAGCTTCACTGGCTCAACACAGTAATGTCCATGCAGGTAATGAGTGCTGCCTGGGAAATGGGGGAAAATGGAGGAGAAAGATGCACAATACGGTGCCCATCACAGGTTTGAGCTACAACTCCTGGGTGGTACAAGCAGTAGAAGGGATTATAGGGACTGGTGGTCTAAAGTTTAGGCAAGGCATAAGCTGAGCAAGGCCATTTTTGTGGACTGTTTCAACGGAAATATTAGTCATTTTGTTGTCATAAAGCATAAGGTATGGAGGTGGGCAACGTGTAAGACAATGCCCAAATAGGCCTTCAAGTAAAAGAAACCACAAGATAAATAGTACATGTAATCTTCCTTCATTAAAATGCTAAGAAAGGCAGAAAGATTATGTGCTGTGCATCTTTCATTCTAACTTTGCAGTAGATTACATTACTAGAATGAATATATATAACAGTCAAGGACCAGCACCAAAAAATGTACAAATGTCAGAATATACACGTCAGAACATATACATTTAGGTATTAAGAAACACTGTCAAAAGCAAAGTCAAAACTCAGTATTGAGTATTGAATATGATAGTTAAAATGGTATTAAACATTTATATGCTAAAATGACAATGGTAAAAACTGAAATAAATATTGTCTCTGTGAGGCTGAGGCAGTGGAAAATGTGGAGCACGTTTTGTTATACTGCTCTTTTACCGAGATCCAATTTTAGAATCTAATTTTAGAAACTTTACCAGGGAGATCTGTAAGGTTTTATGTTGATTACTACTAAAGTTACTAGCTTTTGTGCAGCAGCAATAACTTGTCAGCGCAAGATGCTGTCACAGTCTTAGAAAGTTTTAATATTTATTTCATTACTAGAATGTGCACTGGGTCATCTACAAAAGGTTGCCCTACAAAGGATCACAGCCTTGGGTCCTGCGCTGGAGGAAAGGCAGGCTAGTTATTGAATAAATGAGCAAACAAACAAAATTACCACATTTCCTTTTGAAAGCAGGGAGAGATAAGAGCAGTTTGACAATGGAAATCACTGCAAAGAGAAGTGGTGAGGTCTCCTTCTCTGGATGTCTTCAAGAAGAGACTGGACATCAACATCCTAGGATGCTTTAGCTAGAGATCCAAACCAGGAGGTTGGATTCAATACTCCATAGGCTCCCTTCAAGCTTTATGATTCTGTGAGGTGGTGCAGAAGGTGAAGGCATTCAGGGGACAGCTCTGAGGTGCCAAAATTTTCTTTCAAGGGAGGCTGAGACTATAAATCGGAGTATGGAGGATGAAGAACCACAGGGATTTTAGAGAGATGTTCTCACACTTATGACATCTGCCTTGTTTTAATTTCCAGAGACCCCTCCTTATTTCTGTGAGCAGTGTGGAAAGACATTTACGCAGCAAGGAGCCCTGAGGCGCCACCAGCGGATTCACACTGGTGAAAAGCCATACAAATGTCGGGCTTGTGAACGAACCTTCACAGATATGTCTACCTTGAGAAGACACGTCTTGGTATGTCCTCTGGTATCTTAATGTCCTGAGGGTTTCTTGTGATCTTGAAAAAGCTCATAGTATGTAAAATCAAATCCCTTCTCCTTTCCCCATCAATACATGTCATGTGGCACATTGTTATGAAAGGGGAACCAAAGGTATAGCTGCCGAACCAATAAAACACTCATCAGTGATTTCTTTCCTGTGTAGGACTTGCAGCAGGCATAGGCAACTTCATCAAAGGGGTCTTCACTAGACCTCCAATCTATATTGCTACAATTTTGTGGTTGTCACCAAGATTCCTTCCCACCTCAAGTGACGATGAAATGTAATGGCAACAATACTGCTCCTTTGAGAGCATCTCCTTTCACTACAGCGTTCTGCAGGCATCTGCCAGCTTTTTGTGATGTGATGGTGGTGTTGGTAGAAGGGCAAATGGGAAATAGTGGAAAGTGCCACAGAAGGACAGGTGACACTTAGACCATGTGTTATCTACCCCTGGCTTACACAGCTCTGGAAAGAAAGATCTCACATTATCTTCACAATATAGTGTTCCTAAAACTATTGAAGCTGCACTGAAGGGGCTTTTCAGTTGAAGGGGGACGTTAACCCCCTTCAACATTGCCCCTGTATTCCAGGATCTGATCCCAGATTATCTTCTTATCCCAGATTATCTAGCAGTGGAGACTCATATAATCCAGTTTAAAGCAGATAATCTGGGATCAGATCCTGGGATATAGGGCAATGTCAAAGGGGCTTCAGTCACACCCTTCAGCAATATTTAAATCAACAGCACTTTAAATTCCACTTAATTGCAATTGGAGTTAATCCTGATCAGTTTCCTATATATTTCCCCATTCTCTTATGTTGGGCACAGCAGTGAGACTAATGTTATTAAGGAAAGGAAGTGTTCAAAGGGGCCCAACTTTGTGGTAAATGTAACCTCCTTGTTTCATTGCAGTTAAATTCAGAATGCAAGATCAGGCTCTAAATTTTGAATGTTTCTTCTTGAAAACATGCACATTTGTTGAGTCAAATATTCCTCTTGTGTTGATACTATTTTGAAAGCTTGCTGATTATTATGAAGAATGTTACTATTTTGGAAGGTTTTTATGTTTAGCATGATCAGCTTAGAACTGGATTCCTAAAAATACGTTTTTGTGTTTACTTTCCCTGCTGTAGGTCCATGATCGGAATGCTCACTGGAGGAGTTTCTTAATAGACCTTACTGTCAAAAAAGACCATAACTGGTCCAAAATAGAGACCTTGTCTAATTCAAAAGATGATTCCACTCCAGTTTGGTCTGATTGACATAGTCAACTTCATAAATCTGAGAGCACTAGTGTGGAAAAAGTAGAGCACATCTCATGCAATAGTAGTATGAGAACTCCTGACCATTCCCTTACATATTTATAAGTATAAAAATTAGGGTACAATAATCTCACATGACCAGCCAGATTCATTATGGAAATGTCTAGGAGTGCACATATCACACCCATATTAGAGCTACGCTACCATTTGGTTTCTGGGCAACATACAAAGTGTTGGTTTTGATCTTTAAAGCCCTAAACGGTTTGGGTCCAGGTAACATACAGGATCGCTTTCTCCCATACAATCCACCTTTTTAGACTCTGACGTCCTCTAGGGGACATTTACTCCATCCATCCAGAACCCGACTGGCAACATTCACCCAGAGGACCTTTTTATTGACTGACCCAAGACTGGAATGACCTGCTGGAAGAAAAGTTGATGGTTAAACGAGCTATCAGAATTTCAAACACAGTTAAAGACCTATCCTTTCCAACAGGCCTACCCAGTCAATTTCTAACTATGAGTTTTACATTAACATTGTATTGGTGTGAAAGATTACAATGTCCTTTAATCTTATGTCTGTGTCCTTTAATATATGCGTTTTAATGATTTGATGTTATATCTATGTATTTTAACTATTTGAATTTGCCTTGAGGAGAGGTGGGTAAGAAATAAAATCTTATGTTGTTGAAATTATTATTACTATTATTATTCATGTTATATTTTGTCCTTTTATTATTTTGCATAGAGATTAGTCTATTTGCCATGTCTAGATTGTTGAAGGGCATTGCTAGCCAATGAAAATACATGTGACATTAGAAGACAAGCAGATGAATGAATCCCTGATATTTGAGGAGGAGTTGCCAAGTTTACTGTTTCCTGAAAAAGGCCGGGGGAGGGGGGGGGGACAGTGACTCCATTCGAGGTTTTAGGCCAGATTTCAATAGAACTATCCATGGTGCTGAACTCTATCCTCAAAACTGGTTTAGCACGTTGAATATTTCCTCACACCAGAAGCGACTTGCAGTTTCTCAAGTCGCTCTTGACACAAAAAAACAAAACAAAACTGGAGAGATTTATCACTTTGGTACCTTGGAGCACTCTTTGTCAACTTAGACTCCTACAGAGATTACAACTTGGTCGTAACTTGGGTTATCTATACTGTGTTAACTATTTGTATGAATCACTACAATGCTTTATGTGTAGGGCACCCTTGGAAAATATTCCAGAGACTAGAAAGGTTAATAGGGACTGGCTGATACAGTTATCCACTAAGTGGTTTGTACCTTATAGTAGTTTTCAGTCCTTTTCTGGGTTGTGTTCAAACTTCTGTAGTTAACTTTAAAGCCCTAAATTGCTTGGTCTGGATTAGGTTTCCTGAAGGATCACCTCCTTTCTATATTTTTTCATCTATTGCAGTGAGGTGGGAGGGAACTGATAATGCAATGCTATACCCAAAGATAAGAGATCTTCTCAACATCTAATTGATCTTTTTTGTTTTCCCAGGTGAATTCAGAGCATGTTTTAGACTCAGAACAAATTGTTCCCTTGCTCAACTTTATTACTGTTATTTTATTAACATTTTGCTCCTCTGTACTGGTTTTTTTATGTTGAGTTCTATATTGATTTTGATCAGGGGTCCTCAAACTCGCTCAGGGTCAACCTAAGTCCTAAATAACTTGAAAGCACACAACAACAACAACAACAACAACAACAATCCTATCTCATCAGCCAAAAGCAGGTCCACACTTCCCATTGAAATACTAATAAGTTTATATTTGTTAAAATTGTTCTTCATTTTAATTATTGTATTGTTTTAAGTGTTTTTTGAACTACAAATAAGATATGTGCAGTGTGCATAGGAACTCATTCTTTTTTTTCTTCAAATTATAATCTGGCCCTCCAACAGTTTGAGGGACTGTGACCTGGCCCTCTGTTTAAAAGGTTTGGGGACCCCTGATTTAGATAATAGGTAGAAGACTTTTGTTTGACTGGTTGGTTTTGTTATTTTATTAACCTCAGTGTTTTGTGAAGGGTTTAGTTAAGTGAGAAGCATGGAAATGAGGGGGAACACCAAATATATTTAAATTTTTCCAGTATCTTTTTCACAGTGCATAATTATAGTACTATGGTTCTGCTTTAACTGCCATGGCTCCATCCTATAGAATCCTGGAATTTGAGGTCTATGGGAGATCATTCTTAATCTCTCATCAAACTATAAATCCCAGGATTTCATAGGATGCAATCATGGCAGTTTAAGTGGTATCAAAGGGCTATGATGGTACAATATGAAAGAGACTTTAGTCTCATGTAAATATTTCCTGCTCTTCCTCTGGAGGGACATTTCTAATTTCAGAATGGAGGCACTCAAATGAAACAGATTAAAAACTTGAATCAGCTCTTTATGTATTTACTTATATATACTGCATGTAACAACACAATAGGCAATAGCAGTTTGTTTTTAATAGATTTTTTTGTAAAGTTAATTTATTTTCAAAATAAACTCTACTTACTCAAGTTCAGTGTCACCAAATGTGTGTGTGCAGAAATATATTTGTTTATGAAAAGACAATAATTCTCACCCTGAGACTTCTAGCACATGGTACTTTTCAAAGAACAGAGGAAAAGAAGGCAGGAGCAAATAAAGAAATAATGTAAAATCATTTTGGTTGCATATGCTTAAGCTTAAATTCAGATTATGTATGCCATTCTAAACCCACTTAAAAATAAGCACAAAAGAACTTGAAATAGCCATGTTTGGGATTTTACCATATTGGAAGCCAGTGGTTCTTAGCCTTTGGCCTTCCAGCTGTTCTACATTTTGCCTTCCAATATCAGATTGAGATCAAGGCCCCTTCCACATAGCTGAATAAAGTCCCACATTATCTGCTTTGAACTGGATTCTATGGCAGTGTGGACTCAGATAACCCACTTCAAAGCAGATATTGTGGGATTTTCTGCCTTGATATTCTGGGATATATGGCAGTGTGGAAGGGCCCCCACTTAAGCTAAAAAGTATTGCATGGGAACTAGGGTTTGTGCTAAAAACTTCATATTTGGATTGCTGACATCTTTTCCAGCTAAAACTGATCTCCCCATTGTGTAACTTCCATTAAAAAAATTCCGCATTCCTTACTAAAATGACAGTAACAGGTAGCAGTTCTAGTCTATCCACTTTCAAGGGGCTTTCCCCTTGAAAGTGGATAATTTGAGCATAAAGTTGGAGAACATTTTTAAAAGCATTATACAGATATTTTGGGATACATGTAAGGAGCAGCCTGCTTGACACAGGAATGATAATAGACATGTGTCAGGATAAAAAAAAAATGAGGGCAAAGCTATGGAGAGCTTTGAAGACAAGTATGAGAAGGTTGTGCCAATCTGGGAGCAGATAAGAAACCAGTGCAGGGATTTCAGGGGAAATCATATCATTTGAAAAAAGAGATGTTAATGTTTGGGCCACTGAGAGCTGGACAATCATATGCAGAGTAAGGAAGGCACTGGAGTTTGGAGAGAAGGCTGTGAGGCATTTTTTAGGATATATAAGCATGTGAGTCTGTGTGAATCTTGTTCCACAGTCACTAATAACAAAAGGCCTCTCCCCAGTCTGGATTCTGAAATGATCTCTCCCCCCCCCCCCCGCCCTCTCTCTCTCTCCCTCCCTCTCTCCCTCTCCCTCTCTCTGTATGTATGTATGTATGTATGTATATAAGTCAAAGTATGGACAGTAATTGGTTGGTGATACAACAGAGMCTCCTACATGGCTTGATAAATCAGGACCAAACTTGGCATACACACCCTTCATTATGCAACTTAAAATAATCTCAGGCTTTGAACTTTTAAAAAAAAAACCCTGCTCTTTTTGGGCCTAGAGCTGAGGGAAAGAAAAGGAACAAAGTTGATTGGCTGTTGTGGACAGGTGGAGTGACCCTCTGTCATGTATCTGGGAAACAATGGGAGTGAAGCAAACTCTTGCTAGGTGCCATGTGTATGTGGGGAAGGTAGGAAGGAAGGACAAGGGTGAAAGAAAAATGAGGGAAGAAAGAGAA